CCTCTGAAAATGGAAAGCAGCCTGCTTCCAGACCAGTCAACGGGGAGAGGCAGAGTATGTGGGTGTAACTTAGCATACCATCAGCTAGTTAGGATAGGAAAGGGATTATTTTTCTCCTCCTCTACAGCTGGGAGAAATCAAGAGCACATAGACCTGGACTTCAAGTAGCACATCCCTAGCAAACCGAACAAGAAGCCCTTGTCAAAACTTTCTAGTTTGTCACGGTGTACGTGGGAGGCTGGCATCTTCCATTTCTAAAAAGCTTCGAGTACCACCTTCAGAAGATGCAATCTGACCTCTTTTAAAGCTCCCAGGTTGTACTCTGGAAGCCCTGTCAGGTGTTCTCCACAATCTAAACTAGCATTGTCTCCAGAGCACTAAGAGATAGTGACATTGCAAACTGTGCTGCAGCCCCACGAGTTGAACATCAAAGTCTTCAAATAACAGTGCACGTTGTCACAGCGATTATGTGGTTTTAGTGTGGAAACTGAGACCAAAATCCCACTATGCTTAACACTATCAACCACATATTTACTGCAATGTATCTTCAGATGTGCAGCCAACCCTTAAGAGAAGCATTTAGACTCAATATTTTAGAAAACCTCTTAAATAAGTTTAAGCTGTTGCACTTATTAAGCACTCAGCAACATGCAAATGTTCTCCTGCTGTGTTTCCATCCCTGCTTCTCCTTCTGTGTCTGAGCAAACCTAGAGCACTACATACCCCCCCAAAACAGCTGAAAACATCCAAACCCAGGATTACACAGGTCCGCAGAAAATTACTGCAAGCCAGGCCAACAAGAACTGGGGGAAGGGGGACATTAGATCTCAAATATCCACAGCAATTCAAGCAGCAATTAGTTTGAATAATTTCAAGGCAGGTCTAAAACACACATACCAGCACAAATATTTTGATGATCTCAGTCAAGAGACTCCTCCTCTCCCTCTTCAGGGCTGTAAACAAAGTTAGGTCACAGGAGAAACATCTTGAACTCAAGTACCCTACCAGGAGAACATGCTCTTCCTTGTGGCTTTAACTATTAAAGCTTTAAAAAGCAGAAATATTTAAAAACAAAATTGGGATGCAACCAAGATGTTTTGCAAGAGATATTTTTTTTTCAATCCAGCTGCAAAGAGCTTAGTGTGTAGGTTGTTCAGCTCATAGAGCCACACTGGTAGGGCAGTATTTCAGAGAATCATAAAATCTTTTGAGATGGAAGGGACCCTTAAAGGCTATCTAGTCCAACACTCCTGCAGCAAGCAGGGACACCCACAGCTCCATCAGGTGCTCAGAGCCCCATCCAGCCTGACATGGATGTCTCCAAGGATGGGGCATCCACCACGTCTCTGGACAACCTGTGCCAGTGCCTCACCACCCTTACTGTAAAAAGCATCCCTACTTCCAACCTAAATCCTCCCCTCTTTTAGTTTGAAACCATTTCCCCTTGTCCTGTCACAGCAGACTCTGCTGAAGAGTCTGTCCCTTTCCTTCTTACAGCCCCCTTTAGATTTTGAAGGGCCACTCCCAGGTCTCCCCAGAGCCTTCTCTTCTCTAGGCTGCACAGCCCCAGCTCTCACAGCTTGTCCTCATAGGGGAGGTGTTCCACCTGAACTCTCTGTGGAAGCTTATGGAGTAACTCAGAAGGACCACTGGATGTGGGGACAAAGTGGCACATGGTGGCACTGCCTGCAGCACCCAGCACCAGTGGCTGTGCAAGAATTTGGTGGAAGAACTATAATTTCATCTCAGCATCAGTAATTATGTGTATTTCATACAGATGTCATAGGGTACAATAGATGCTGTGAAGAGTACTCATATATTAAGTAATTTATAGCATAATAATTAACAGTTAATCACTTACAAGTTAAGATGCTCCGGGAACAGTCCCAACTTACAGTGTGCACTGCCTCCTTCCAGGGAAACTCACTGTTTAGACAGCACTCCTCACCATCACAAAGCAAGCTGCTCTACTCTGTCTCAGCAGATTCTGTGCTTGCACACACACACCTGCAGGTAATAACCAGGTATGTGACAGCAGTGCTAATGAAGAAATCAAACTCTCATGTGCTGTATCATGATAGCTACAGAGTGAGGTGGGTAGCATCTCTTGCTGATGAAGACACAGGGGAGAGGAGAACAGGTTTTTAGATATATAGCAGAAGGGCACTGTGTTTTTGCCGCTGAGCAAGCTTCATTACTCTACACTGCCTAGTTAATTTACGCTGCAGCAGACATATCTATGCCCAGCACATCCACCACACATTATAGCATGATGATTCTCAGCTGCATGTTGCAGCTTTTCTCCTTCATCACCACCCATCCACAAGCCCACACCATGTGGTGGCTTCACCGAAAGCTCAGCTCCGCTTCAGATGCAAAGCTGTAATGTTCCTGCAGGTAAAGCAACATCTTCCCTCCATTTTTTGGTAATTTGGCCACCTTCCTGCTTCCTGTAGGTGCCAGCATTGACCCCACCAGCCTCCCGTGGTTTGCTCTGTTACGTAAAGAAACCTCTTCCCAATTCCCAAGATCTGTGGCTTGAAGCAGGAAGCTGTCTTCATCTGCTGTCCATGCTAAGAACCACTGGGACACATAGGACTTGCTCTCAGCTACATCTGCTGCCAGTGAGCTCCACCGCCCCATTACACACGATTGAAAAAGAGCATTTCTGTTATGAGTTTAAGGTTTGCTTTTTCAGATTATTTTTCATCCCCTCATTCCAGCAGCATGAGAGAAGCCAGTCTGATGCATGTTATCACTCCCACAGCGTTGTTTCTTTCCTCTTTAAGTCATGCCAATCCTAAAGCTTTTCATCCAGGAGCCTCCCCAAACCTTTCCATCATTTCCATCACCCTCCCAGTCCCACGGTGGACTGCATTTTTGAAAAACAGCAATATTGCCTTTTCTCTTAGGTTTCACCCTTTGTTTTTGTTTCTGCCTTCTGCAGTGCTAGCAGAGGTGATGCACTTGGAAGCCTGTGATGTTGGGGGCTGGAACCTTTCCATGTGCAGCTCAGTCTATACATCCAAGCAAGCAGCCCCTTGCATTGCTGCTTATTTTTCTCACTTTTGCTGAGGTTCCAGTCATTGCCACTGCAGGACCAAGCAGATCTCTATTTGCTGGCTTTTCCTGTCAGGCAGATGATGGGGGATAAGGTGAAGGATGCCCCATCAGGAAGTGCCTCCGTGTCTTCTCCCCCAGTTCTGCAATTCAGACCTGAGCTCTACAGCCAGATGAGGCCTTCCCCTACCTGCTTTGAAGCTTGAAGCATTTTGGAAGAACAAGTTCAACCAGGGTTCCGTGACTCTCTTTAATGAAAAAAAAATCAGCTGACATTCCCCATTGCTCCCCCCAGGACACCTCCCTGCTTCCAAGTTAATCACAGGCTCTCCCAAACCTCTGCACACTCCGCAATAGATCACCGATAATGCATGAGGGAATGGTTTCTACTGCAAAAAAATCGCACCTCACAGCCCATAAATCCACTGAGCATGTCATTTCATATGGCCCAGGGCTGTGAGCTAGCCCAGTGCTGCACAGAGAGATGACAAATCCATTTTGGATGGCAGAAGCAGAATAGCTTCTAGTCAATCCCAGCCTGCAATGCAAGAATTCAGATTTACAGACCCAGCAGATTTACTTTTTGCCTCATTTTATTGTCTATTAATTCACTCCACTGCAGATGAGGAAGATTTTGGCAGAGCAGGCGCCTTTTGCAGCACACAGACATCCATCCTCATGCCTTCATTCTTGACCCATGCCCCTGGGTTCATGCTGCCCCATTGTGAGCTTAGGGGGAAGCACCAGCTCTGCCTACAGGTTTATGACCACTGTGGTGCAACGCAGTATCACCAAGGACACACATCCTAGCTGGAGCAGGGCTGAAACATTAAGAGCACGATGATAATTTCATGTAACTGCCAGAAGTCCCAGCTGCACTCTGCAGTAACATAGCTCTTTGCAATCTGCTTATTAACCATGCTACTACAGACAGGGCTGGGAATAGCACAGCCTAGATCAGATTTTTCTTTTGAACAATTCACATTCACCATATCGTAGATACATGCAACAACAAAAGAGAAGAGTGGGGGGCACAACCTCCCCTTGAGCAAGAATGCCAAGGAACATGACCAGGAACCATCTTGTGCCAGACAAAACAACAAGATCATGTACAAGGAAGTTTTCTCCCTGGGCTTCCCCACAGTGCAGATGGAGGAGCACAGGCACCTGTACACCCAACCTGAAAGGAGCTGTAGCAGAGCTGAGAGGGGAAGAGAGGGCCCTGGTTTGGTACAGGATGAGTTCCAAGGAGAGGGGCTCAATGTAAGGCCACAGGATGCAGAGAGGGCAGGAAAGACTGATCTGCATCTTTCCCAGCTTTTAATACCCAATTTCTCGCAAGGCTGAGAAAGTTCATTTCTCAACAGCAAGTGCAATATTAATTTTGCCCCCACTGCGTTCTTCGACCTCAGCAGGGAACACAAGCACATACTGTGCAAATACAGACACGTTGATGGTTTCCTTCTTTATGATGGAAAATTACACACACTTACTTGCTTCCCAGGGAGATGCTAGCATTCAATTCTCTTCTATTCACAACATACTTAGCTTTCACTGAGTGTTTTCTACACGTGGTTTGCTGATTGCCCATATGTACTGCAAAGGAAGCAACAAGCAAAACATCTTTGAGAGCTGCTTGTGTGTCTGCCTGTTGTTAACCAAACCCAGACAGTGCCAAAGAGCACTAAAATCAGCTGGGGCTGAGGACTTCACTCTGCAGGCAGGGGTTCCACCAGCACCCCAGCTTTTGGATGAGACTGTGATGGGAGCACACATCCTTCAGCCTCCATATCCGCAGCCCTCAGAGAAATTGGGTCAACAAACCCAAAGAGCTGGCCCAGAGGCTGCGCCGAGGCCCCCTGCAACTGTGGCCCACATCTGGCAGCCCCAGCTCAGCTGGTCAGAGGATCCTGCATTAGGTTTTCAGTAGCCGACAGTGCCCTCCAGTGGGATGTTTGCCGCCATGCCACTTACACACTTCCCAAAAGGAAAAAAAAGGTTATTAAAATTACTTTTTACAAGCCCTGGCAAGGAAAGATAAGGAAGTTACAAGCCCAGGATACAACTGCACCGTACTGCCAGCCAGAAGGATAGGGTGATGCTTGGTGCTCTTCGCAGCTGGCATCTCAGCAATCAGGATTCATGTAAGCATTATAAAAGTGCTGTATCCATTCCTCAGGAAGGCCAGTAGCATCTCCAGGACCTCGAAGTCAGGCCTGGTGTGTTCCTCAACCAGGCTGCAAGAGGCTGAGGGCTCCAACGTGGCTGCAAGCCATGCCCTGGCTCCCACGAGGCTCTGCATGATGGGCAGAGGAAAGCAGCATACCTGAGCACAGGTGCAAGGCTAATCTTTAATTTCCTAAATTAAGCACTGAAACATTCATTTTCTTTAAAAAAAAAAAAAAAGAAAGAAGTGTTTAATTATTACATGCTAACAGGTCTGCACAAATCTCAAGCAGGGTAAGGGGGAGAAAATACAGAGAGCATTTGCTTCCAAAGGGGAGCAAGCATTTAAAAAACAGTAAGTGACAAAAACGAGAAAGGCTGGGGGAGAGCAGTGGGCCATAAAACACACAAGGAGATCCTGCACAGCCAGCACTGACTGCACAAGTAATGAGGGCCGCCCTAGAGTGGGGGTGACTGCTCCAGGAAGACTCTGTAGGTCTGGCCATGGTGTGCCCGAGCCCCCCACAGCCACTCAGGAGGCCTCGCCCTCAGTTTCAGCTGGAAGGGGTCGAGACGCAGGCAGTCCCCCAGGTCCCGCAGTTCTATCACTGGCGGCTCCTCCGCAGCCTGCTCTGGTGGCTCCTCAGGCCCCAGGGCCCTGCCCGGATGCCGTCTCCGCCATTTTGCCCAGCACAGGGCTCCAGCAGCCACCAGCAGCGCCAGGCTGCCTGTGATGGCTGCTCCCACCAGGATGTCAGCGTGGCGGAGCAGGAAGCCCAACCCTGTCAGAAGAGCCAAGGCCTGAGTTGGGGTTGGCAGAGCACCCCTCCCAAACCACCACCCCAAAGAAACGTTTAAACCAAGGGCCAGTCCATGGGGGTTCCCCAACAGAGCCATTGCTGAACTCGCGTGGAGCTGCATGGAGGCTTGGTAACCTGCTGCCATTCCCCTCCAGGCACACAGGGACCCCAAAGATAAATATGCATTTATAAAACATTAGCATAACGCTATACCTAACCAGTCTGGATAGGCTTTGATGGTGCAACATGTCAGTGAATTTGTTCTCTCAGCTCCAAATGAGAAATGCAATTAGACTGCAGGCTCGCATTCAGCTTTCAGAAGCTTGTGGGAGAGGATGCACTTAATTACACTAAACAAGCAGCAGTATTTTAGCCTGATGCAGGTCACCTTGTGGATGCCTATTTAGGCTCACCTCTGAAACTAGATTCTTCTAGAACCTACATAGGACAAGAAGATGACTATTTGTCCTCCCAGTACAAGGCTCACCTCCTGACCTAGATACTCAGCTTCAGAAGGGACCACGTTGGCCTCCAACCCACATATATCCGAGCACAAATCCTGAAAAGCTCCTGAAGCCAAAGCATGAAGTGCTTGGTTTTTGTTTGTTTTTCCCCTCTACAAGAACAGCAATCTGGGAATTGCCTTGCAAAGACACAGATCTTCCCCCTTCCTAAAGCTATGGTGCCAGTTGCAGAGCCACTTTTAAGCACAAGATGTAATGCACAGTAGCAAAAACCTGGCTGTTTGGATTTCAGTTAAAGCTGCACATGGCAAGAACTGCTAAATTGAAGCACTCTGATGAGCCAGCGGCTGCTGATGCTGCTGCACAAGAGACTCATGTATGCAGTGTTTGCACTAACTGCATACACAATCATACTCTCTCCTCAGTACCATCACCATGAGACATGCAGAAGTATGAGAACATTACTGTGTCATCTACCTGACTGTGGAGTACGGACACAAAGGGTGCCAGACTTGGTGGGAGAATGATCCTCGTAGCCCTTCTTGCAGCGGCACAGGTAGGTGCCCACGCCATTGAAGCACTCTGCCTCCTCCCCACACAGGTTGACTCCCGAGCTGCACTCATTCACATCTGATGGGAAACAGGTGTGAAGTCACATCAGGCTCAGCATGAAAGGGCCCTGATGCCAGCCCAGAGCACCCACCTTCTACCAGCAGCGAGACGAGTTGCAGCTTCCCCGCTCCCACTGAAGCACCGAGCAGCTCTCCCAGCTGGGAGCGCAGCAGCAGGGACATATTTCTCTCCTCTGGCTTGAGGTGTAGCCAGAAGGTGAGCAGCAGGCTAGCATTGCTTGTCCTGTGGCAGGAAGAGCCCAGGGTGAGGCAGGAGGAAGGCACTATGGCCAAGCACTGCTGCAACAGCCCCTTCCACTCATTAGCAGATGGTCACAGTGCTGCAGGCTCTTGCAAAGAGAATTTGTAACGAGACAGCTTTACTGGAGGAGAAAGAAGCCAATATCCAAGGAGCACCACAGGTAATAAAGATGCCTATCGAGAAGGTGGCATACCAACAACCATACCTTTTGGCTTCCTTTAACTTTATTTCACTGACTCTGTTGGCAGAGAGCTTCAGGTTCTGCTGGATCTGCAAGGCAAGTGACCAGTGTTTATTTGATATTTGGTGGGCACAGATATGGCAGCAAACCACTTCTTTTCTCAGTCCTCCCTCCCATCCTGCTCTTCTCTTTCACAAACCACTCAGGACATGTTAGATGTCCCATAACCCTGTGCTGGGAGCCTTTTCTCTAGGACACTGCTAATGCCTCCTATCTGCTGAAATTTAGCTCAGCTCCCACAGACAGACAAGGTAGTTTAGGAAAAGCAACAGAAACCCCAGGATAAGCATTTAGATGAGAAAGAGTGGATGGGCTGGGTGACATCCAGGGTGTGAGTGGCAGCTTTATGGAGCAGGCAGCAGGGTGAGCTCTACACCCACCGTAGGCTGGATCCCAAAAAGCAAGACTTGAGAACACACAAATCTAACCCCGCCTAGACTTGGTGTTCAAGACACCCTGTTTCTAGAGGCAAGTTACAACCTTTGGCTGGTCACATCTGTTTCTGCAGTGCCTTTCTGCACCTAAACACCATCACTGTGAACAGGCACCCTGCAGGGCATCAGCATTAGGCCTTGGATTTTGGCCAGCACAAGCAGCTCAAATGCTGGCTCATCATGTGACATTAACAGAAAATCCCTGGGATGAAGAGCACAACGTGATCTCTAGCAGCTGAGTTTTTGGGATATAGCATTTGCCTTTCCTTCCTATGCCCAGGCTTACATGGCTTCTTATAGATTCTAGGAGATCCCTTCTGAGCTCACTGCCAGCAGGAGTGATCCAGTCCTCGTGTTTGATTTCAGTCATTACTTCAAATAGCACATCTGAAAAAAAGAAAAGAAAAAGAAGAAAAAGAAAGCTCTGAGCAAGGGTAAGTCCACAAACAGGCTTAAGTGAGCTAGCCCAGAATGACAGCGACAGCAGAACTGCAACAAGGAAATCCTGTCAAGTGACATGTGAGTGTTTCCAGGCATCGTGCATCAGGCAGAACAAGTTGTTGACAAAAGCAGAGAAATCTTAGCTAATGCTCAGTGTTGAATCCTGGAATTGATCTCTGAACAGAGTACACAAAGCATTAACGTACATTCAAATGTACTCAAACTTCCTCAGCAATTATCTCCCTAAAAGGCACCACCATAATTTGTGATATCCTAGAAGCCCTCATCTCTTACCCATCTCTATTTGGAATCAGCACAAGCAGCTGGCTAAATCTAGGCTGACATACACTACCAAGATCTGTTGTTTAAAGTCTATTCATTCATCAATCTCTCCCCTTTCAAAGATCAGTTCCCTTCTGTATTGATTCCTTTTTGTAAGCCGTTGCTGTGGTTTGCTCTACCATACAGACCCAACTCTGCTTAATTGCTAATGCTCTCATAAGCAGGTTTTTCTTCTCCTTAGTTTGAAAAGCAAAGCTGAGGAACCAGACAGTCCTGAGACATTGTGCACATGTATTTAAGTAAAGATAGAACTCCCTCACAAAAACAGTATTTAACAACCATCAGCAATAGTAGAGCTCCAGAATCCCAGCATTTATGCCAGATTTAGCATATGAACTCAGGTTTCTCCAGGGTAAGTGCGAAGTATCTTCCAAATGGTCACCAGTAAGGAGTGCACTCCACTCTCTTGTAAAGTTGATGGGCAAAGGATGGCCACATACAGCACCAGCCAGCACACCAAAGCTAGGGCTGTGCTTTAAGACATGCTCAAGTCTTTGCATTGCTTACCTCCGGGCTGGTGCAGGGACTGCAGTGCTGTACGGTTCTCCAGAGATGCCAGAACTGAAGCCAGATCTGTCAGAGCAAGGAAAAGAGACAGGCTGCTGATCTCTGCCTCCTGACAAGGGGCAAAGCACACATTAGGTGTGTCAGTTCACAAGAAGAGTACCAGCAATGTTTCACACCAAGATGGGCATACACAGCCTGATTCTGGTGTAAGTTGTGGAGGAAAGGCTGCTCCTCCACAGGTAACCAGAGCCCTGGCATTAGGAGCCAGTCTCTTCCTGTTAAGAGGAGCACTGTCTCATAGATATCCGTGAAATAACATGTAACCCTATGCCTACTCCACCTCCACAATCTTGGATGTGGTAGGAACTGGGTACCAACTGAAGGAAACAGCAGTATCTTCAAACAAGAACTCTATAGAGTACTGCTTCTCTAGAAATGGGTATCAAGCTGCATTGAGCACCAGTTCAGCCCCAGATAACCCAGAACACAGCTTACCAAAGAGATCTTCATGTCCTTCTCCTGGCAACAGCACATCTCCAGCAGGCACACCTTTGTCATCCTGGGACATCACCTCTGAGGCAGGGACATCAGCTGAGTAGGGTGAGGCTGTGCTGACTGGAGCAGGCACCAGCTCTACATCTCCCTCTGCAACTTCTAAGGCAGGCAGCTCAGCTTCAGGCCCAGCACCTCCTCCTGATGGAGCCTCCAACACATCTTTAGTGGGTTCCCTCCCCTTAGTGTCACCATACGTAAGGCTTCTTTCCATTTCTGTTTCACTCTGCAGCTGACTGTGCTCACCCAGGTCAGCACCAAGCCAAGCATCTTCCACAAGATCAGGGGGATGTTGGCCCTTGTTCTCTGAGCTTGCCACCTCAGCCTGGATCTTGCCTGCAGTAGATGAAGTAGATGGGCTCAGGGAGGCTCTCAGCATGGGCAGCAAACCTGGTGTTATCCCCGCCCTCCAGCTCTCTCCCTTAGAGGTTTCCTGGAGGGGCTCTTGGGGAGCAACAGCACCACCTGAAGCACTCACAGCTTCATAGTCTCCAAATACATAATACTGTCCTTCAAAGTGTTTGTATTTGCTGCTTAGGGGGCCACTTCTTGACAACAATAGCACGTGGACTGCAGTAGCTTGTGAAGCAAAGATCAGAGTACCTTGGTTGTGACAGGCATACACGAGCTTAGTTTCCACACGTGAGAGGACACCTTGGAAAATGATCTTGTCCTGGTTCTTTCCGCAGCCTTCATTGCTTTGGAACCCCTGAACGTAGATGACAATGTGCTTCTGGGGGCCTGCCCAGATGGTCCAGTTGCACCAGATGTTGGCTTGGATGTCACCATACAGTGGGAGGTAGAACACCCCAAACCCATCCTGAAAGATGACGTGGCAGCTCCTAACAGGGAAGTACTCCATCACCCAGGGCAGTCCCAGCTCTAGCACATCATGAACAAAAAGGAAACACAATCAGTGATCAGTGTATACCCCAGGACATACATACCCTGTTCCAAATTCTCTACTGTTGCAGAATCCCTGTGTTGTTTCAACCCCTAGAGTCAACTCTCTGCTCTGGGATTGAAGCTGAGCCCAGGGACCCAGCTGCTCTGCCAGCCTCTGGGGGCTGGAATTGCAAGCTTTCACTCCCAGAAGAGGTTTAGCCAAGACCATCACATTTTTGGAAGTCCACCCCTCACCAGTAGCCAGGCCCACACTTGCCAGGCTGGGACTGTTGGTGGGAGTGTCACTCATCAATTAGTTCTAGCTTCAGAAGATGACTCACACCAAAATAAGAAATATTTTGAGACCTACCAGTGTGCTTCTGTGGCTGTCCTCCCAGCGTCTCCGTACGTCTGGATGCAGGACCTTTGGCAGCCTCCCGCAGTTTCTGGCCTCTTGGAACTATTTGTTCCCACTGGACTGCTGGGGGATCAGAGTGGGCAGCATACAAGGAGGAATTTCTCTGCTCTCCCACACCCACCTGGAGACTTTCCATGGTTTTCTGCATTTTGACTGCCCCAGACAGCAAGGCAGAAATCATTTTGCCACTGGTGGCCATGCCTGGTTGCAGCAGAGCTGGTGCCACCCCATGACTCAGGGGGTCCTTGGCCCGAGGAGGTCCCACACGAGGCCTTGGGACAGAGTCTGGAGAGGGACTGCTCACAGGAGCTGGGGTTTCTCGTTGCTGGCTGCCCTCTTCCAGCACATCCTCTCTCACCCAAGGGCCAAGGTAGCCAGGGGACACATCTACACCCATTTTGGGGGCTGCCAATGGATGGTGAGGAGACAATGGTGAGGCCATCTCCTGTCCTCCTGGTGAGACACCTGCCCTTCTCCTGAGGCTGACAGGATCCAAACCTAAAGCTGCCAGTGGAGAGGGGACAGTCCTGGACATGGGCTGTTCTCCAGAGGGAAAAAGTCCTTTAGGGGCAATGTTGGCAGAGCCAAAGCCCATAGGAATGAGGTCAGAGAGAGAGAACACTGGCGCAGGGATTATTTCCAATCTGCTTGTGGAAGCAAGCTCTGGATCTGTTGGCCTAGGGGATGCCACCAGCCAAGTCTGTGAGGCAGCGTCACCCTGGTAGCAGCAGCTTTGTGTGTCCCATGAGGATGCAGGAGTTTCCTCAGCAGATGGACAGCTGCATGCTTGGGTGCTTGTGGGGGGGCTCCCAGGGTGCACAGGGACTGCCTGCAGGACAGGATGGCTCTGGTCACATGAATGAGGATGCTCCAGGAGAATGTCCCATGGCAAAGTGGGACATGGCACCACTTTCTTCTCAACACCACCCCTGGAACTCTCCAGGGGGAAGATATCCATGAACTCCATATGCTGGAGGTTCATTCTTTCCAGCCTGGCCCGAGTCACAGGCAAAGCCCCAAAACTGCTTTGGTCTCTCTCAGGCAGCAGCTGTGAGCAGTCCTCACTCACCACATCATAGGGGCTGCTCAGGCTGGGCATCAGGCCCCCTGCAAAGCCAACAGCACCACTGCCTGCTGCTCCATCAGCTGGGGTGCTCAGCTGGGCACGGTTTCTGTCCTTCCTTAAACCCAGCCCCTGGGACACAGTGGTACCAATGCACCCAATGGTACCAATGCTTCTGCCAGGAGAGGAAGCCTGTAAATCAGCACCCAAGTCCATGTGAATTGTGCGTGTTGGTTTAATAGTAAACTGGAGGTCTCCCAAATCTTCCAGCCTCAGGGTGGGGTGCAGGACAGACTGTCTGCTCTCCCAGCTCATGCCTGTGGGCTGCAACGAAGGCTCCACCACTTGCAAGGCTCCAAACAAAGTTGTTTCCAAAGGCATACTTGAAAATTCACGTGTATAACCCAAACCTGGAGCAACACATCTGCTTGTGGTGCAGCTCAACCACTGGGCACCCCCAGCTATGCCTTCCTCTTCCTGGCAGAACCTTGGCCCTGTCTGTGTCTCAGAGCCCTGCATGCAGGCAGCTGGCATGCCCAGGAGCTGTGGACTTGCACCTTGGTATGGGACAAGCTTCACTGGACTTCCCATCGGCATCAAGGTTGCAGAGCCTCCAAGGTAGTCTGTCCATCCAGGCTGGAAAACATTGTCTTGCTTAGATGGCTTTGGAGCGAGAGTTTCAGGAATCAAAGCACCTCTGGAGGGAGATTCGTGTTCCTGGTGCTGGAAGATGTAATACTTGCCTTTAAACTGGGTGTCTCTGCAATTTGGCAAGTACCTCTTCAGCAACACAACATGCACAGCCTGAGCAAAGGTGGCAAAAACTTGCATCTCCTTCTTCCAGCAAGCATAAACTACATCATTTTCCACCAGTGAAGAAACTCCTTCAAAGAGGATTTTGTCTTTATTTCTGTTACAATCCTCCTGTGTGATAAAGCCTTGAATATAAATTATGATATGCTTCCTGGAGCCTGCCCAGATTGTCCAGTTACACCACAAGTTGAACGGGGAATCACTGCGATACTCTGGAGGAGAAAACTCCCCATATGTGCCCCTCAAGACTCTGTGGCAGCTTCTCATGGGCACATATGCCAATATCCAAGGAAACGCTGACCCTGAAAGACAACAGAGTTAGGGTTTTCCTTCTTCTCCACCTGCCAGATAGTGACTAGTCCTTCCTTGCAGAAATTGCCTTCAAGCTCTCCTATCTATTTGCATAGATGGCCTGAAGACTGCACATCCCTTTCTTGCTTCAAGGCTTCAGCCAAGCAAGAAGCCTCTCAGCAGGCTGAGAAACATCAGCATTCCAACCATGGTTGAGTTTGTTGGGAAGTAACAGCATTTTCCAGAAATGCTACCTCCAAGCTAGAAGACCCACAAGCCAGCAGTGAGTTTATCCTCCAGGAAGGCCATTATGGTTTGGATCGTGCTTTAATTGCTGCCTAAAATCAGCCAAATCTCCTGCCTCAGGGCCCTCACATCCCAATGCTCTATACCAGCTCTATCTCCCTTCTTCCCAGCCCACAGCCAGGTGACTGCTCTAGGCTTCCCACACCAGAGATTGATGTGCCCAGCAAAAATGAGAACGGAAAAAGAGGAGTAGCACAGACAGAGAAACATCAGTGTAAGAATTAAGCCTTACCTGCTTTAGCATCCTGATGTTCTGAGTAGGACTTGCATGCCTAAAAAGAAAACAGCCTCACTGCAGACCTGAGCATCAGCACCTGCACTAGCACAGCACGAGACCAAGGACCACTGACACCACTCCCTTCATCACCTCATTTTTCCTAGCAGCACTCCCCACCTCCAACAGCAGCAGCGTCACCCAACTAACACTATAACGGCCACAGCCAATGCACTACCACTCCCACAGTAGCCAACATACTCTCCCCTCACTCACCCCCACAGCCCTACAGTCAGGATGCAGCAGCCCTGATACAGGTCTCCATACCAAGGACACCAGGAGCAGGAACACCAGAAGGTCTAAAAGCTTCATGGTAGAGGCTCACAACATTAAAACCAGGCCCAAATGCCTCCTAAACTATCACTTCCTCCTTTAAACAACCCAGCAAGCTTCTCCCAGGTGGAGTATTTACTCCGCCATCTTGCCAATATATGCACCCATACATTGCCCAGGTACCCCTGATAACAATTAGTTTGTCATGAATGAGGACCAGCTGTGCTCATTAGCCTCACAGCACCCTTCCTGCCCTCCCTGTTTTGGTGAGCAGGCTCCATCCATCCAAGCAAATAAACATGTCATGCTGGGAACTGGAATTAAAGCATTGTTGATGGTGTGACCTTGAAGTAGAGCCCAGCTTGCTTTTTTCTCCCCACTGTCCATAAAACAAAACAAACAAAAAAACACCCTCAAATGACTGAGGGAAAGCACCCTGGTGTACAATCGTGTGTTTCCATTACATTTGAACCAGCTTTGGCTGGATGCTGTGATTCCCCCAGCACTCAGTGAAAGGAGGGTTCCTCTCCCTGCCTACACACTGCAAGGCAGCAAGCAGCCAGCCCAGGTGATGGTGTGCAAATTACCAGATGCCAGCAGCTCTTCCAGCAGCAGTAGCCTAGCTTGTCATTAGGGGCGACACAGAGAAGGCAATTAGGCTGCTTGATGCATGGCTTTGACAACGTACCCTTTAACATGTCAATCATAATTCAGTATAAATAATAATAATAGTAAATCCTTTCTTCTATGTTGTCACAGCTTGACAGGCTGTCAGATGTTCAGTGACAAATACATCCTTTTTTTCTTTTTTTTTTTTTAAGCTTTTCTGCCCATCGCCACCCCAGGGCTCAGTCCTACAGCAAATGTGGGCTCACCAGACCCTAACATAAAGCCACAAGGATTTAACCTGGTTTGAAGAACCCTGGAGGAGCTGAACAGCATGGTAAGGCCCTGTATGTTGTTAATGTTTTGCTACATAGATGTATAGGGAGCTCTGACATGCTGTGTGTTGTTTTCTTTGCCTGGTAGCTGTTTCTATATGAGTATTCTCATATAGAAACTCAAATCTACTTGCATCTACACTCCTGCAGTGTACAAAGCAGCATAACTTTGCTGAGCTCCGGGTAAGTAAATTAATTCTACCTCCCCCTAGTGACTGCATTGGTGTAAGAAGAGAGAGGAAAAGCCAAGCTCAGCAAAACTTCTTTATTCTCTTCCAAGCAAACAAAACACATATCTGGGGAGCAGTGCAGTGATGCTGAGAGATGGTAATATAGTCTGTAGGAGTTGTTTGTGCCTATGTCCTGTTTTTTAGGTAACCTGCTCTATCTGCGGGTTGGATTAGGTGACTTCCAGAGGCCTCTGCCCATTCCTATGACCTTGTGATTCTGCAAAACAGAGTGAAGATTCCCAATGGTGACTGAATTACATCAGGTGCACTGGGAGTGCCCAGCCCTACATACAGCCGGAGCAGCACTGGCTCTGTGGCCGGCAGAACACTGCCATGGGTCCATGGTGAAGTGTGTAAGACTGGGCTGGTACCATCTGGGAGCTCCTGGGGGCTTTGCAGGTGGTTTCCCCAAAATGGCATCCCTGTCCCCATTACAGCAGCTGGGGTCTGGTCCCACACTGCCTCCTGCAGGGAAAATGGTGCCTGCATTGCCCTGTGGTCTGGGAAAAACAGATGAAAAAAAGACAAAGATGAAGATAAAAATAAAAAGAAGGAAGAAGGAAAGAAGAGGAAAGAGAGGCAGTGCAAAAGGAGGAAGAGAAAAGAGGTTAAAAATGGGGCGGAGGTGGGGAAGAGGAAGAAGGACAAATAGAAGAGGGAAAAGAAGGAGAAGGAAAAGAACAGGGACAAGAAGGACAAGAAAAAAAGGGGGGAAGGAGGAAGAAAAGAAGAGGGAAGAAGGAGCAAGAGGAGCACTGCACTGCTGTGCCTGTGCCAGGCAGTGTTGCTCAATGTGCCCAGCTCCGCTCCCATTTGATGATGAAGCACTCCAGACCCTGCAGCACTCAGCAGCGCCCAAGCAAACCCCACTGCCTCCAGCACTCCATTAACAAGCAACCTCGGAAATCCGGCACCACCGCATCCTTACCCCTTTGTGTCTCAGAGGTGTTTTCCCACCCGGGCCTGGGATTTCCCACAAGTAGAAATACATATTTGCATAAATATTTTTTTCAACACATTTTTCCCTGTCACTACGGTGACCAAAAAAAAAAAAAAAAAAAAAGCAGAATTTGGGGGATTGATGCAGGAGCACAGTGTCTGTCCCTTACCACCTCTCTTGGTGGACCTGCCCAGGATCCCCAACCATGTCAGTCCAAGGGGTGGCAGCTCCCTTCACCCCTCTCCTCTCTACCCCTATTTTGGCTAAAAAACAAGCAGCAATGACTGTTTGAAACAAGGAAGAAATCCAGAAGGTGACGCAGGTGGCTCGAGAGCTGCATCATCCCCCTGTTTTGGCAAGAGAGTGCTAATTGCACCATGTGGGAGCAGCGTGCCCGTGGTTGTTTCTCTGTTGGTAATTGCTCACGGGGCCACATCCTCCCCAGGCAGAAGGCTCCTTCTGGGTAGAAGCAGAAACACCGCAGGAGATGCTGACCAGAGTCCCATTTCCTCTCCTGCAGCTACATTCCAAGAGCTGATAATGAGAATAAGTACTTTCCACTCCTCTGTGGGCATGGGGAGGTTGCAGGGAAGATGTGCTGGCAACCCAGGAAAAAAAACAGGCCACAGGGGTTTTCCCAGCACAGTAGAAAAAGTTAGCTGCATTGCTTCTTCTGCCCTAAAACAGACCAGTCTGGATTTAGAAAAGAAAATGTTTTTCCAGGCCACTCTCGTATCTCTCTTCTGTCACTGCTTTCCAAATCCAAAAGAAGGGTTGGCCACTTCTCCCAGGTAACAGTGACAGGACGAGAGGGAATGGCCTCAAGTTGCACCAGGGAAGGTTCAGGTTGGGTGTTAGGAAACATTTCTTCTCAGAAAGAGCAGTGAGGCAGTGGCACAGCTGCCCAGGGAGGTGATGGAGTCACAGGCACCAGGCCCTGCGCAGCTGCTTGCTCCAGCTTCCAGGTGTGGGAAGATGCAGGCGGACGTTGGTGGTGCTTGAAAAAAAATGTTGCTGCAAAGAAAATGGGTGAACCGAGGGCAACATCGCAGCCAGGAAGTGGTTTGAGAAATGGCAAAAAAGTGAAGATTGAGAACATGTCACCCCTTTCTCCTTCAGTGGCTCTCACTGGATGATTTTGGGAAAACAATGAATCGCAGTACAGAGCTACTGCTTCCTGGCCTGTCTGGGGGTTTTGGCAATGAGGAGAAGGGAAGGGAAGAGAAATTCAAACAAAGAGCCATTAAGCCACCAGAACACATAACCCACTGGGAGACTTCGGGGAGCACTGCACCTCCTGCATACACCTGCACAGCTGCTGAAAGAAAACTGCAAGCAGCTCCTGCTCCTCCAACAGCAGCACTTAACTGAACCTGAGCATCCTCAAACAACAGGCTGCACTGGATGGCAAAGGGGAATTTCCCTCCCTTCGGTCTGAATGCTCTTTTACCTCTGCTAACAACTTCACCATACAGCAGTGTGTGGTTGGTGCTGTCTGGGCCAAAACCAGCACAAGGGAAGGGAGTGGCATGGCGCTGACTCGAGTTATGGCAAATAGTCCCATGCACTGTGATACAGGGGCTGAACACAGTCCTGCCAACAGCGAAAAATACACAGCCATTGCTTCTGTTGCTCAATCACAAGGCATGTGCAGGACAGCCAGGAGATCAGGCCCAGCCAGCAGGTCCTGCTTGACCAACCTGATCTCCTTTGATCAAGAGACCCTTCTGGTGGATGAGGGAAAGGCTGTTGATGTAATCTATCTAGGCTTCAGCAAAGCCTTTGACACCGTCTCCGACAGTATTTTCCTGGGGAAGCTGGCAGCTTCAGGCTAGGACAGGTACACTCTTTGCTGACTGGGGGACTGGTCTCAGAAAGTGGAGGTGAATGGAGTTAAATCCAGCTGGTGGCTGGTCTCAAGTGGTGTTCCCCAGGAGAAGAGGCAGCTCAGGGGAGACCTTATTGCTCTCCTGAAAGGAGGTTGTGTTGAGGTGGGAGTCAGCCTCTTCTCCCAGGTAACAGCAATAGGACAAGAGGTAAAGACCTCAAGTGGTGCCAGAGAAGGTTCAGGTTGAGTATTTGGAAACATTTCTTCTCAGGAAGAGCAGTGAGGCAGTGGCACAGGCTGTCCAGGGAGGTGATGGAGTCACCGACCCTGGAAGTGCACATCTAGCACCAAGTACCACCAGCTTCATCTCTTTCTCCACTGGGTTTTTCTTGGTTAAGATGTTGGCTGCAGACTCAGAGTTTCTTTGGCTTGGAAAGCCCAAGCTGTGGACCACAATTTGGGGAGTTTCATTCAAATGAAGACAACAAAGTCTTAGTAAATGAGCAGTGCCTACATGCAATGGCTTGTTGTGAAAGCCGTGGAAATAATTATCTGCTGCACAGTTGTTAGAGCGTTGGTGTTTCTGCGTGTTATGCTGCCAGTAATTGCAGACATTCTGTGTGCAAAGAGAGCAAAGATTTCTGGGCTGGCTCCGGACAGAATGACCAACCAGGAACAAGCAGTGGGTTGGTCCACTGGTCCAAGCTCACTGCCTGTGGCTTCACAGTGGCCACAAGCAAACAACCAAGGAAAAGCGAGGACAAGGCAACCGTGAGGAATTTGCCCCCCAGTACTTTTCTGCCTTCAGCCCTCAGCAGCCCAGGGGACTTCCTGAGCCAGCTGTGATCTCCATTCAGTGGCATCCACTTACCACTCTCCTGAGGCAGGTTCCTTTTTCAAGTATTTGCAGAGTTTCCCCTTGAGCCCATGTAAATTTTAGCACCCAAAGATGATCAAGCAGGCATTTCCACAGCCCCACCATCTGCTGTGCAAAAACCCCACTTGCTGGTTTGTTCTCAGCTCCCATGGCTACTATAGCAGACCCCACTTCTTGCTTTTCCGAGCCACTCTCACTCCCCTCTTCTTCACTGCTTTCCAAATCCAAGAGCTGTCCCTAACACAGCTGTTCCCAAAACAGAACCCTGTTTGATGTGGATGCTTGTGGTCTGTTTCTGAAGCATTTGCTCTTCTCCTTTACTCTTTTTAGATGAGAAAACCTGAAGTGTGCATACTAACAACAATATGGATGACCCATTGACTTAGCGTGGCATAAAGATGTACCCT